GCCCCCTGGGCCCACCCCCCCCCCCCCCCACAGCATGAGCCGATAAAGCTAAATCCTACAATGTGGATGAAGAGATGTCTAGGGAAGCCTCCCCAGATGTACAGATGGCTTGTTTCCGTGCGAGTCCTGAGGTGGACGAGATGGTCAAATTTCGGGAGCCAATCGCCGGCGTCAATTGTACCCTTCCCGCACTACAGCCTAGGACGCTGGCAAATCCCACATTTCCCGTCAAGCGTTCCCCTCACGTTTTTGAAGTCCTTGTTGAGCTCTGAAATATCTTCCCGTACGTGAGAAGGAGTTCTCAGGTGGTGTCCCATGGTCCATGCATAAAAACGGCTTCCTCTGGTGTCCAGATGGTTCATGTGCGGTGTATTGGGGGGGACATTCTGTGGGACCTTCACGACTAGGACTGCGCTTTCGCATGCACTAGCTCGTGTTTGATGAGCTGGGACTTGTCGAGGTAGCTTTTATCGCACTTGGAACAAGGATACGGCTTTATCCCGGTGTGGATCACCTCGTGCCGGGCCAGCGCTGACCTGGCGACGAAGCTTTTGCCGCACTCGGCGCACGAATACTGCATGTCTCCCGCGTGCCTCCTCTGGTGGGTGACGAGGCTGCTCTTCAGCGTAAAACCTTTCCCGCACTCGAAGCACCAAAACGGCTTCAAGCCGCTGTGGACGCTCCAGTGCCTGTTCAATTCCGATTTGCCGGCAAAGCTCTTGCCGCATTCCGAGCATATGTACGGCCTCTCACCCGAGTGATACCTCTTGTGCGCGGTCAGCTGCGACTTATCCATGAAACACTTCCCGCACTCCGTGCACTCGTACGGACGCTCGCCCGTGTGCGACCGCCGGTGCCTGATGAGCTCGGACTTGCGGGGGAATCCCTTGCCGCAGTCGCCGCAGGAGAACGGGAACTCGCCCGAGTGGCTAAACAGGTGCTTGCGGAGGTCCGAGTTCTGCGAGAAGCCCTTGCCGCACTCGGTGCACTTGAACGGCCGCTCGCCCACGTGAGTGGTCTGATGTATGTTGAGGTGGGTCCTCCGTATGAAGGTTTTGGCGCACACGGAGCACGAAAACGGCCGCTCCCCCGTGTGAAGCTTCTGGTGGCCGCGCAGGCTGGATTTCGAGGTGAAGCTTTTGCCGCATTCGGAGCAGGAGAACATCTCGCTCCCCCGATCTGCCGTCTTCCGGGTCACGGTGTCGGGTCTGTCCAGGGAAGATCCCCCGGGGTTGGAGCCGGACCTGCTGGAACGTCCCGCCTGGGCGTTGGCGCCGCCCGCTCGACCTGCCGATGGCCCCTGGCGAGTGGAAGGACCTGGCGACTTGTAGGAGTTGTAACGTCTCGAACGGGAACTTCTGGAATTGACCTCTGCGTATTCCTCCGGCTCGCCCTCAGGAGATAGGTCGGGGTGTCCTTCCGTAGCGTTTGATTGGCCGTAAACTATAAATAGAAAGATCAGTTAAAGAGGACCTGTAATGT